CCTCACAGCTTTGCAGCCACACAGGGAACCTTTTCGGTTCCAGCCAGGTGGGCTTTAACTAGTGCAGTTAATTCCTGATGATCAGGCGACTCTTCCATGAATCCCAGCCCCTGCTGTGGCTGCTGAACACGTGGAAAGCTGCCCTTTTCCCCTACAAATTCCCTACTCCACACGTTCTCCTTGTCTTCTCCCTCTGAGCCTTTGGGGCTCCGTTGCTTTAGTTCATTTCATAAGAAGCAGAAAACATCTTAAATATTATTCTAGACCCGAAGCCCTTCCCTGTGTTTCTGGAGAGGGAGGGATTGGTGAAATTCGGGGAGCAGAAGGGGCTGAAGAACCTCTGGAAGTTCCCCTGAGCTGGGAATTCCTCACGCTTGGGCTGAGCACTGATGTGCTTTCCTGGCTGCCTTTGTTTGGGATTAGTTGTCCTGGGCTGGGACAGCTGGGGGTTCTTCTCCAGGTTGTGACTCCTGGCTCATCCCACTGCTCCCTGTACTCCTGGTTTGGTGGGTGTGGGGCAGGACATGGCCCAGGCTCTGGGGCAGGGGCTGGATTCACCCCTCACACCCCTGTGCAGGCAGTGCCCGGCAGTGATCCCATGTTCCTGGATGCTTCCTGGGGGTCCCTCCTGTCCCTCTGCCCAACCCTCTCTGCCCCTCAGCCTGGTCTGAGCCCACGGGTGGGTTTTGGGGCCCCCCAGGGCCCTGGGAAGGCCCAGGGTGGGTGTTGTCTCCCCTCAGGATTCGGGGGGTGATGCCTCGCTGGAGCTGTGATAATCCAGCTGTGCTGAGCCCTGTGCTTGCTGTGTCATCCTTGTTCATCCTTGCTCCCAGACACTGCTCCATTCCCTCCCAGAAGTGCCTCAGCAGAGGCTGTGAGGGCAGGGCAGGGCTGGGCCTTTATTTAATTCAAGTCTAACCCTGGGCCTGGATCTGCACTCGGGGCTCTGACGGCCCCAGGGCGTGCCCTGCTCCACAGGCAGGGGAGACTTCAGCAAATCCCAGTGGAAGATGCTCAGACCAAGAGGAAAATCCATGGGCACAAACAGAAATGTTTCATTGCTGCCAGAATCCCTTCTGTGTCCTGGCTGAGGGGGCCCAGCCCATGGAGAGCAGAGGAGGGACTGAGGGCAGGAGTGTCCCCAGCCCTGCTGCCCCTGGTGACAGGCAGGGCTTTTCCATCTCCAGTGTTACCCTGGTGCTGGGAAGGGTCTGGGAGCAGAATTCCCATCCCTTCTCCTCTCTCCGTACATTTTGTCTCCATACCCTCCCTTGGAGCTGGTGTTTGCACCAGCTGAATGGATTTACCTGTTCTTGCAGAATCTTCCTCTTCTTACTGAATCTTCCTGTTGCTCCATGTTTGTCTCTTTGTCTCCTTATCCCCCACCTTTGCCACTTGCAGGCTTAACCCTTCCCTGAGCTGAGTCCATTCTCTCCAGCTCCATCCCTTGCTGGGGGGGTCTGACTGAGCTGGGAGGTGCTGGATGCTCCTCTGCTGGAGCTCTGTGGGATAACAGGCATCTCTAACTCCAGTGTCTCCCAAGATCCCCGAGGGGGAGTTTCCTTCAGAGAACACAAACACCCCTCATGTCTCTGGGAGTTCTCTGAGGAGCTCCATGCTCTGTGTTGGCACCTTGGGCTGTGTCACCTCGGGGCTGGCAGTGGGTTATCCAGGGAAAGCAGAGCCCGAGGGAGCCTCTGTGCCTCTTGTGCGAGGTCAGCGTGGTTTAAACCCAGAGCAACCCCTCCCTTCCCAAAAACTGAGCCCAGCCCCAAACCTGCTGCTCCTGGCAGAGCTCTCTGGGCTGCTGACTGCCCCGTCTGGAGACAGAGCCAAACTGCTGATTCCTTAATCCAGAGGCACTGGAGCTTTGTTTTCACTGTGCATTCACTTTCCCACTCTGGGATGTAAATTCTGGGGGGCCATGTGAGCCCTGAGGTCCCGGGGCACTCCTGGAACGGGGCCTGCCCACAGTCCTGCTCACGGCCTGCCCTCGAGGTGCTGAGGTGAGTTCTCAGCACCATCACATTCCTCACCTCCTGTTTGGCAGCACCAGCCCGATTCCCGGTGCCGGGCGCTGCCACGGCAGGAAAGGCCCCGCCAGGAGGGTTCTGTAAGTGTGGAATTCTCAACATGGTTTGATTTCTTCTGTTTCTTTTAAATGCATTTAGCGCTGGCTCGAAAAAATCTCCCGAGGGATCAGGAGTGGTGCCAAGAGCAGCTGCTGATCCGCCAGGAGAGCCCAGGGGGGCAAAGAGAGGAGCCATTCCCACCTCCAGTGGCACGGAGGAGATTCCAGCGGGACAGACGGAGCCCCCCGAGCCCCAGCCGGGAGGAGCAGCGAGGGAGTCACCTGGGAGCCTGGCCCGGACGGCTGTGGAGGACTTGGATACTGGGATTGGTGTTCCCGTGAAACCTGCTGGCACCAGGTCACCTGGAGAGAGGTCGGAGGAGAAGCCGCTGCCGCCTTCCAGTGCGGGGACGGAAGAGGCTCCTAAAGGTCCTCCTGAACCAAAGCTGCTGGAGAAGGGAAGCAAAGAGGGGGATGAGGAGTCGTCTGCCCCTGCCGTGGAAGCACTGGGCTCGTCCAGCAGGGCTGAGGGGGATCCAGCAGGTCGTGGGGTGATCCCAGCAGCCGGGGAGGCAGCGGGGGCCAGCCCTGGAGCAGCGTCCCCCAGGGATGAGGGGGCTCCCATGGACACGGTGTCGCCTGCTGTCACCCAGCTGGCCAACGAGCTGGCTGCTCCTGGGAAGAGCCCTGTTCCTGAGGCTGGGAAAAGCAACCCTGAAACGTCTGGAGCTCCGGTGGCCGAGAGGAGACCTGTCCCTAAAACCAGGGAGGCCCCAGGGAAGAGACTTGATGTGGCTGGAGCAGAGGAGGGTGTGCTCAAAGCTGGACACACTGCGGAGGAGAACCCCGGGAAGCTCTTGGGCAAGGCTGGGGCAGAGCTGCAGAAGCAGCTTGGGAAAGCAGCAGCCAAGGCTGGGGCTGCTCTGGAAGATGCCCCGAGTGCCGTCGGTGGGAGCAACGCGGGAAGTTTGGTCAAAAGCCACCAAAACAAAGGGACAGGAGTGGCAAACCCCAGCAGATGCCACCCGGGAGCTCCACTGAACCCCTTTTTATCCCTCAAGGAGCCCGCTGTGGGTAAAACCCTCCTGAGGGCAGTGGTGTCTATCCCGGATATCTTCAAGGCCAGAGCCCCAGCGAAGAGCAGCGAGCCCTCCTCGGGCAAAGGCGGGGAGCAGAACCCCCCCAGAGCCGAGGGCCAGGCAGGGGGGGACAAGAAAACCCCCTCCAAAGCAGCCCAGCCCACAGCAGGGAGCACCCAGGGGAGAGGGAGCAGCAGCTCCGGAGTGGATGGACAGGGAGGCAGTGGGAGGAGCTCAGCCCAGCAGGACAAGGACTCCCAGGTGGAATCTAGGGCTGGTTCAAAACAGAGCCAAGAGGGAGAGAGTGGAACCCCCGGCACGGAGGAGGACCCCGGCAGCACTCAGGTGAGAGGCAGGAAGGTCCCCGTGCCGGCACTGACTCCGGCCTTCTCCCAGCCTGGGGCAGTGGCTCCATGTTCCCCTTCCCTTTTCCATAAATCCACACGAGCTGACGGGCGGCCAGTTCCTTTTATCTGCCGTGTGTGCAACACAAGGGTGGAACTGGTGGGAAAATCCTGCAGGGGTGTTGTGGAAGTGAGTCGTGGCTGTGTCCTAACTGTGTGTCCTCGGAGGAGTTCCGGATGGGAGCTGAGCTGTGTGTCCTCCGAGGAGCTGGGATTTGCTGTGCCCAGTCCTGCTCGGGCACTGGGAGCTGGGATTTGCTGTGCCCAGTCCTGCTCGGGCACTGGGAGCTGGGATTTGCTGTGCCCAGTCCTGCTCGGGCACTGGGCACTGGGAAGAGGCTCCTGAGCTGTCACCCGTGGTTGGTGGCTGGTCCCTGGAGCACCAGCTCTGCCGAGCCCAGAGCAGGAGCAGCCCTGGGGACATCCCAGAGCAGCTCCTCGGGGCCAGGAATAGCCGTGTCTGGTGGTGGGTTTGGTGTCCTGGGAGCGGGGCAGGGGCTGACCCCGTTCCATGGGAATTCCACTCTCGTTTTGCAGGGTCCTGGTGGGGACAGGAACAGTGGCACTGGCAGCAGTGGGAAGCAGAAGGAGGTAAGGATGGAACCATGGGGGGATTGAAGGTGCAGAGGGTATTGATGTTCCAGGCCAGGCTGGACAGGGCTTGGAGCAACCTGAGCTGGGGGAAGGTTTCCCTGTCCATGGACAGGGCGTGGCTCTGGGTGGGATTTCAGGTCTTTTCCAACCAAACCATTCCATGGTTCCTTGACCCCAGGCCTGGGTGCTGCTCTCAGGAATCCTTCCCCACCTCCCCCGGAGTGGGATCACCGAGTCCCTGCCCTTCCTGCACCCAGTGCCAGTGCCGTGGGCTCTGGGATGCTGGAATTGCTTTGGGATCTTCCCACGTGGTGGGTTTCCCCCCAGATCTCTCGGTCAGTGTTCCCAGGAGCCGGGACCGCCAGGAAGGCCCAGCTGGGATCAGATGCCATGAAATCCATCCCTGGGAACCATCTGGCCCTAAAGCACCACCCAAAGCTGCCCCAGACCTCTGTTCCCAGCCCGTGGTGTCCAGTCCCTTTGCCAAAGGCAGCCAAGGCTGCCAGGCTGCTCTTCCCAGCCCAGGCAGTGTGGGATGATGTCAATTGATCCACTGGGATTTCACAAAGTGCTTTGGTTTCCTGAATTAAATCCGAGTGAAATCCAATGAATTAGCACAAGGCTCCTCCCCCGTGGGACTGAGGGCCTGGACAGTTTTCCCTGCCCTCCAATGAAGTTGGTTTTTCCCCCTGCAGACAGGCTGTGGGTGTTTCTCCCGAGGCTGTGGGCGAGGGTGAAGTTGAGTGTTACATTCTCACTTTGACACTTCCCAGGAAGAAGAGCTGTTCCCGTTTAACCTGGACGAGTTTGTCACCGTGGACGAGGTGGTGGAAGAGGTGGAGTCTCCGGTCGTGCCGCGGCGAAACCCCCCCAGGGGCAAGAGGAAAGAGGGAGCCAAGCCCAGCCCGTCGGAGCCTGCGCCCAAGAGGAGGAAAGGGAAGAGCTCCGGGGCCAAGGGGGAGCCGTCCTTCGTCACCCTGGACGAGATCGGGGAGGAGGAGGACGCGCCCGCCCCGCCGGGGGACCCCCAGGGGCTGCTGGTGGTGGACGAGGTGCTGGAGGAGGAGGAGCTGTCGGAGGCGGTGAAGGACCCGCAGGCCCTGCTCACCCTGGACGAGATCTCGGAGCAGGAGGAGCCCGGAGCCCACAGGGACCTCCCCCAGCCCGGGTTCAAGGAGCGGGACCTGAAGGCCGAGCCCCTGGTGACGGTGGATGAGATCGGGGAGGTGGAGGAGCTGCCCCTGAACGAGCCCGCCGAGCTGGGCGGGGAGGACGGCAAGGGCGGCGCCGCCGACTTCGCGCCCTCGCAGGTGCCCGACGACCCCCTGGCCCTGGTGACCGTGGATGAGATCCAGGAGGACAACGAGGACAACACCCTGGTGACCCTGGACGAGGTGAACGAGGAGGAGGATGATTTCCTGGCGGATTTCAACCACCTCAAAGAGGAACTGAATTTCGTCACAGTCGATGAAGTCGGGGACGAGGAGGAGGAGGAGGAAAACTCTTCCCCAGGGAAGAGTGCACACAAGGATGAGGAGGAGGAAGACATCGTTGCTGTGGCAGGACCAGAAGAAGAGGAAATCGCTGCCAGTGCAGGACCAGAGGAGGAGGACATTGTTGCTGTCGCAGGACCAGAAGAAATAGGAATTTTGGGGGATCCGAATGCAGAAGAGGAAATCTCTGCAATCTCCAAGCCAAAAGGTGAGGGACCTCAAGGCCAGGTTGGAAGGGGCTTGGAGCCCCCTGGGCTGGTGGGAGGTGTCCCTGCCCATGGCAGGGGTGGGATCGATGGGCTTTGGGTCCCTTCCAACCCAAACCATTCCAGGATTCCCTTCCATTCCAACGTGCATTTCTGTCTCCAGCAGCTCAGCTGGGATCAGGAGGGGCAGAACCAGAGCCCAAGCAGAAGAAAGCAACTGTTCTGGGTGTCCCCAAGGTGCAGAGCACTCCCAAAGACAAATCCAGAGGAACCACCCCAAACTCTCCAGGCTTTCCTGGTAGGAAGGACTTCCCTGTCTGTTTAAAACTCCTTCCGTGTCCTACAACCACACTGAACCTGGAAGTCAGGGCCCAGAATCCATGGTTTTCTTCTTTGCTCCTCCAAATCCATGTTTAGCCAGTTGAAAGCTCAATGTGGAAAGTACTTTTTTCCTAAGATTTACAAATACAGGCAAATTTATTGATGGTCAGCACAGGGCAGTGGGAAACCTCCTGAGCATTCCCATCCTGGGACGAGTTTTATTCCCAACTTTCCATGCCTAGGAAGGAGGGAACTACTGACACAGCTTTGAAATGGGGGTGGAGAGATGTATTTCCTTTTTTTTTTAATAAGATCCTCCTCTAAATTCCTTGTCCATAAAACACTGGAACCGGAAAAGGAGTTGCTGGGAACATCTGGCTCCTGGTCTGATGGCTTGGGGGCCATTCCCTGGAAGGATGCGGCTGGTGGGACACTGCAGAGCCACACCTGGCCCAGGAGTTGGAGATAAAACACTTCAAAGGCCAAAAGGTGCCGAGGAAGTTGCAGGGACCTTCGGATCCAAAAAATTCCCAGAAATTGCTGTGGTTACTGCCCATGGAAATGATGTGTGGGTTGAAACAGGGACCAGCTCGAGTGAGAAACCGGGTTTTTTGAAGGCTGAAACCCTGTGATTTCCACCCAGGAACCCCAAATTGCCCGGGATTGGGGAGGGAGTGTGGGGTTGGGATGTGTCTGGAGCTGCGTGAGGTGACTGTCGTGTGCTGCTCCCTCAGCCCTGGACATCCTGGTGCCCAAGGCCGGGTTCTTCTGCCAGATCTGCTCCCTGTTCTACGCCGACGAGCCCTCCATGATCCAGCACTGCCGGACCCCCCTGCACCGGCAGAACATGGAGGTACCCTGGGAACAGCCCCAGACCCGGGGCTGGGGGGGCTCCTGCTCACCCCTCGGGGCTTTGGGAACACACAGCCCGTGGGAATGTGGAATGTTTCCTGTTCCATGCCCGGGTGTCATTGTGGGGATTCCTGATCCCTGAGCTTTGGCCACGTTCCCCTCAGGAGCTTCCCGAGCTGTTTGCCTGGGAGCCAAACTGGGGTGTTTTGGGGCAGATCCCCCCTGGCAGAGGGAGGAGCCAGCTGAGCTGGAGCCCAGGTGTGCTGACACCTGCCCTGCCTTTGGGATCCTGGGATATCCCTGCAGCATCCTCTCCCCTTGTCCCACAGAAATTCATGGCCAAGCAGCAGGACAACGACGGGGAAGAGCCGAGCTCCAGGTGATGGAGGGCAGAGGGACCCTCCGGTGCCCGACGCTTCGGGGCCACTCAGTGCTGTGTGTTTGGGCTCCATTTGTCCCTTGGGGTCAGGAAGGAGCGTTTGTGGTGTGGGAATCAGAGCTGGGAGGAGACCCCGGAGCTGCTGGGCTGGATTTGTGTCTCCAGTCACCCGGCGTGGGACAGACTGGTCCCAGTGTTGGCAGGAAATAAATGTTCTCATTGTATAGTTACCCCAGGGTTGTGTTTGGGGTCATTCCTTGGGGTTTGGTAACTCTGGGTCACGCTGGAGAATCCAGGGGATCGATGGAGCGACTCCGGTGGAGAGCTGGGAAGGGGCTGGAGCAGCTGAGGGAGCTGGGGGGGCTCAGCCTGGAGAAAAGGAGGCTCAGGGGGGACCTTCTGGCTCTGCAACCCCCTGACAGGAGGGGGGAGCCGGGGGGGGGTCGGGCTCTGCTCCCAGGGAACAAGGGACAGGAGGAGAGGGAACGGGAAAATTGCTCCTGGAAAGGGCTGTCCCCCAGGGCAGGGGGGATTTAACAGCCCTGTGGCTGTGGCACTTGGGGACATGGTCAGGGGTGGCCTTGGCAGTGCTGGGGGACAGCTGGATTCGATGGTCTCAGAGGGCTTTTCCAACCCAAAGGATTCCATGATTTGCTGATTCCAGGACTCCCTGCCCTGTCCCCGTTGTCCTGCTCCCGGCCATGTGCCTCACCCCGCCCCAGCCCCGTGTTTTGTGGTGACATTCCCAGCTCAGGGACCCCTCTGGAGCTCCCAGCCCCTCCCCTGGACTGTTCACAGCCAGTGGAGCCGCAGCAGGAATTCCTTGGATTCCTGTAATTTATTTCCTGGTGGCTGGGCCGGGTGGCACCCACTGCCTCTCTGGGGAGCACGTGGGCACTGTTCCTCCCTGGGGGCTGCAGGGGGGTGGGTGGGGAAGGGGGGGCCTGGATGAACTCCCTGGGAAGTTGAACTTCCCTAAGCTGAGCTGGGCTGGGTCCTGGCAGGGCCGGTGCCGGGGGGCTGGAGAGCAGGGCAGGGGGGGAAGGCCCTGGGGGCCAAGGTGGGCGACGGGCTGGAGGGTGCTGAGCCCTGGCACGGGTGGGGAGGGTGGGCATGTGCTGCCTGTTCTGCTGGCTTGTCCTTGGCACAGCCCTTGGGCAGTGGAGTCTTTCCCGCTGGGTCATCTCTGGGCTGATGGACCGTTGGGAGGGACCTTTGTGTGCACTGACCTCCCCCTGGCACCGCTCCTGGTGTCCCTTGGCTTGTCCTTGGCACAGCTCTGGGCGTCTCTTGGTGTCTCTTGGCTTTCCCTTGGCACAGCTCTTGGTCAATGAAGTCTTCCATCTGGGACATCTCCTGGTTGATTAAGTCTTCCCATTGGGACAGTTCTTTGTACCCCCTGACCTGCCCTTGGCACAGCTCCTGGTGTCTCTTGGCTTTCCTTTGGCACAGCTGTTGGTCGATGTGTTCTTCCATTTGGGACATCTCTTGCTTGATTAATTCTTCCCATTGGGACAGACTTCTGTACCCACTGACCCTCCCCTGGCACAGCTCTGGGTCTCTTTTGACTTCCTGTTGGCCCCACTTTTGGTATGTCCTGGCTTTCCTTTGGCACAGCTGTTGGTCGATGTGTTCTTCCATTTGGGACATCTCTTGCTTGATTAATTCTTCCCATTGGGACAGACTTCTGTACCCACTGACCCTCCCCTGGCACAGCTCTGGGTCTCTTTTGACTTCCTGTTGGCCCCACTTTTGGTATGTCCTGGCTTTCCTTTGGCACAGCTGTTGGTCGATGTGTTCTTCCATTTGGGACATCTCTTGCTTGATTAATTCTTCCCATTGGGACAGACTTCTGTACCCACTGACCCTCCCCTGGCACAGCTCTGGGTCTCTTTTGACTTCCTGTTGGCCCCACTTTTGGTATGTCCTGGCTTTCCTTTGGCACAGCTGTTGGTCGATGTGTTCTTCCATTTGGGACATCTCTTGCTTGATTAATTCTTCCCATTGGGACAGACTTCTGTACCCACTGACCCTCCCCTGGCACAGCTCTGGGTCTCTTTTGACTTCCTGTTGGCCCCACTTTTGGTATGTCCTGGCTTTCCTTTGGCACAGCTGTTGGTCGATGTGTTCTTCCATTTGGGACATCTCTTGCTTGATTAATTCTTCCCATTGGGACAGACTTCTGTACCCACTGACCCTCCCCTGGCACAGCTCTGGGTCTCTTTTGACTTCCTGTTGGCCCCACTTTTGGTATGTCCTGGCTTTCCTTTGGCACAGCTGTTGGTCGATGTGTTCTTCCATTTGGGACATCTCTTGCTTGATTAATTCTTCCCATTGGGACAGACTTCTGTACCCACTGACCCTCCCCTGGCACAGCTCTGGGTCTCTTTTGACTTCCTGTTGGCCCCACTTTTGGTATGTCCTGGCTTTCCTTTGGCACAGCTGTTGGTCGATGTGTTCTTCCATTTGGGACATCTCTTGCTTGATTAATTCTTCCCATTGGGACAGACTTCTGTACCCACTGACCCTCCCCTGGCACAGCTCTGGGTCTCTTTTGACTTCCTGTTGGCCCCACTTTTGGTATGTCCTGGCTTTCCTTTGGCACAGCTGTTGGTCGATGTGTTCTTCCATTTGGGACATCTCTTGCTTGATTAATTCTTCCCATTGGGACAGACTTCTGTACCCACTGACCCTCCCCTGGCACAGCTCTGGGTCTCTTTTGACTTCCTGTTGGCCCCACTTTTGGTATGTCCTGGCTTTCCTTTGGCACAGCTGTTGGTCGATGTGTTCTTCCATTTGGGACATCTCTTGCTTGATTAATTCTTCCCATTGGGACAGACTTCTGTACCCACTGACCCTCCCCTGGCACAGCTCTGGGTCTCTTTTGACTTCCTGTTGGCCCCACTTTTGGTATGTCCTGGCTTTCCTTTGGCACAGCTGTTGGTCGATGTGTTCTTCCATTTGGGACATCTCTTGCTTGATTAATTCTTCCCATTGGGACAGACTTCTGTACCCACTGACCCTCCCCTGGCACAGCTCTGGGTCTCTTTTGACTTCCTGTTGGCCCCACTTTTGGTATGTCCTGGCTTTCCTTTGGCACAGCTGTTGGTCGATGTGTTCTTCCATTTGGGACATCTCTTGCTTGATTAATTCTTCCCATTGGGACAGACTTCTGTACCCACTGACCCTCCCCTGGCACAGCTCTGGGTCTCTTTTGACTTCCTGTTGGCCCCACTTTTGGTATGTCCTGGCTTTCCTTTGGCACAGCTGTTGGTCGATGTGTTCTTCCATTTGGGACATCTCTTGCTTGATTAATTCTTCCCATTGGGACAGACTTCTGTACCCACTGACCCTCCCCTGGCACAGCTCTGGGTCTCTTTTGACTTCCTGTTGGCCCCACTTTTGGTATGTCCTGGCTTTCCTTTGGCACAGCTGTTGGTCGATGTGTTCTTCCATTTGGGACATCTCTTGCTTGATTAATTCTTCCCATTGGGACAGACTTCTGTACCCACTGACCCTCCCCTGGCACAGCTCTGGGTCTCTTTTGACTTCCTGTTGGCCCCACTTTTGGTATGTCCTGGCTTTCCTTTGGCACAGCTGTTGGTCGATGTGTTCTTCCATTTGGGACATCTCTTGCTTGATTAATTCTTCCCATTGGGACAGACTTCTGTACCCACTGACCCTCCCCTGGCACAGCTCTGGGTCTCTTTTGACTTCCTGTTGGCCCCACTTTTGGTATGTCCTGGCTTTCCTTTGGCACAGCTGTTGGTCGATGTGTTCTTCCATTTGGGACATCTCTTGCTTGATTAATTCTTCCCATTGGGACAGACTTCTGTACCCACTGACCCTCCCCTGGCACAGCTCTGGGTCTCTTTTGACTTCCTGTTGGCCCCACTTTTGGTATGTCCTGGCTTTCCTTTGGCACAGCTGTTGGTCGATGTGTTCTTCCATTTGGGACATCTCTTGCTTGATTAATTCTTCCCATTGGGACAGACTTCTGTACCCACTGACCCTCCCCTGGCACAGCTCTGGGTCTCTTTTGACTTCCTGTTGGCCCCACTTTTGGTATGTCCTGGCTTTCCTTTGGCACAGCTGTTGGTCGATGTGTTCTTCCATTTGGGACATCTCTTGCTTGATTAATTCTTCCCATTGGGACAGACTTCTGTACCCACTGACCCTCCCCTGGCACAGCTCTGGGTCTCTTTTGACTTCCTGTTGGCCCCACTTTTGGTATGTCCTGGCTTTCCTTTGGCACAGCTGTTGGTCGATGTGTTCTTCCATTTGGGACATCTCTTGCTTGATTAATTCTTCCCATTGGGACAGACTTCTGTACCCACTGACCCTCCCCTGGCACAGCTCTGGGTCTCTTTTGACTTCCTGTTGGCCCCACTTTTGGTATGTCCTGGCTTTCCTTTGGCACAGCTGTTGGTCGATGTGTTCTTCCATTTGGGACATCTCTTGCTTGATTAATTCTTCCCATTGGGACAGACTTCTGTACCCACTGACCCTCCCCTGGCACAGCTCTGGGTCTCTTTTGACTTCCTGTTGGCCCCACTTTTGGTATGTCCTGGCTTTCCTTTGGCACAGCTGTTGGTCGATGTGTTCTTCCATTTGGGACATCTCTTGCTTGATTAATTCTTCCCATTGGGACAGACTTCTGTACCCACTGACCCTCCCCTGGCACAGCTCTGGGTCTCTTTTGACTTCCTGTTGGCCCCACTTTTGGTATGTCCTGGCTTTCCTTTGGCACAGCTGTTGGTCGATGTGTTCTTCCATTTGGGACATCTCTTGCTTGATTAATTCTTCCCATTGGGACAGACTTCTGTACCCACTGACCCTCCCCTGGCACAGCTCTGGGTCTCTTTTGACTTCCTGTTGGCCCCACTTTTGGTATGTCCTGGCTTTCCTTTGGCACAGCTGTTGGTCGATGTGTTCTTCCATTTGGGACATCTCTTGCTTGATTAATTCTTCCCATTGGGACAGACTTCTGTACCCACTGACCCTCCCCTGGCACAGCTCTGGGTCTCTTTTGACTTCCTGTTGGCCCCACTTTTGGTATGTCCTGGCTTTCCTTTGGCACAGCTGTTGGTCGATGTGTTCTTCCATTTGGGACATCTCTTGCTTGATTAATTCTTCCCATTGGGACAGACTTCTGTACCCACTGACCCTCCCCTGGCACAGCTCTGGGTCTCTTTTGACTTCCTGTTGGCCCCACTTTTGGTATGTCCTGGCTTTCCTTTGGCACAGCTGTTGGTCGATGTGTTCTTCCATTTGGGACATCTCTTGCTTGATTAATTCTTCCCATTGGGACAGACTTCTGTACCCACTGACCCTCCCCTGGCACAGCTCTGGGTCTCTTTTGACTTCCTGTTGGCCCCACTTTTGGTATGTCCTGGCTTTCCTTTGGCACAGCTGTTGGTCGATGTGTTCTTCCATTTGGGACATCTCTTGCTTGATTAATTCTTCCCATTGGGACAGACTTCTGTACCCACTGACCCTCCCCTGGCACAGCTCTGGGTCTCTTTTGACTTCCTGTTGGCCCCACTTTTGGTATGTCCTGGCTTTCCTTTGGCACAGCTGTTGGTCGATGTGTTCTTCCATTTGGGACATCTCTTGCTTGATTAATTCTTCCCATTGGGACAGACTTCTGTACCCACTGACCCTCCCCTGGCACAGCTCTGGGTCTCTTTTGACTTCCTGTTGGCCCCACTTTTGGTATGTCCTGGCTTTCCTTTGGCACAGCTGTTGGTCGATGTGTTCTTCCATTTGGGACATCTCTTGCTTGATTAATTCTTCCCATTGGGACAGACTTCTGTACCCACTGACCCTCCCCTGGCACAGCTCTGGGTCTCTTTTGACTTCCTGTTGGCCCCACTTTTGGTATGTCCTGGCTTTCCTTTGGCACAGCTGTTGGTCGATGTGTTCTTCCATTTGGGACATCTCTTGCTTGATTAATTCTTCCCATTGGGACAGACTTCTGTACCCACTGACCCTCCCCTGGCACAGCTCTGGGTCTCTTTTGACTTCCTGTTGGCCCCACTTTTGGTATGTCCTGGCTTTCCTTTGGCACAGCTGTTGGTCGATGTGTTCTTCCATTTGGGACATCTCTTGCTTGATTAATTCTTCCCATTGGGACAGACTTCTGTACCCACTGACCCTCCCCTGGCACAGCTCTGGGTCTCTTTTGACTTCCTGTTGGCCCCACTTTTGGTATGTCCTGGCTTTCCTTTGGCACAGCTGTTGGTCGATGTGTTCTTCCATTTGGGACATCTCTTGCTTGATTAATTCTTCCCATTGGGACAGACTTCTGTACCCACTGACCCTCCCCTGGCACAGCTCTGGGTCTCTTTTGACTTCCTGTTGGCCCCACTTTTGGTATGTCCTGGCTTTCCTTTGGCACAGCTGTTGGTCGATGTGTTCTTCCATTTGGGACATCTCTTGCTTGATTAATTCTTCCCATTGGGACAGACTTCTGTACCCACTGACCCTCCCCTGGCACAGCTCTGGGTCTCTTTTGACTTCCTGTTGGCCCCACTTTTGGTATGTCCTGGCTTTCCTTTGGCACAGCTGTTGGTCGATGTGTTCTTCCATTTGGGACATCTCTTGCTTGATTAATTCTTCCCATTGGGACAGACTTCTGTACCCACTGACCCTCCCCTGGCACAGCTCTGGGTCTCTTTTGACTTCCTGTTGGCCCCACTTTTGGTATGTCCTGGCTTTCCTTTGGCACAGCTGTTGGTCGATGTGTTCTTCCATTTGGGACATCTCTTGCTTGATTAATTCTTCCCATTGGGACAGACTTCTGTACCCACTGACCCTCCCCTGGCACAGCTCTGGGTCTCTTTTGACTTCCTGTTGGCCCCACTTTTGGTATGTCCTGGCTTTCCTTTGGCACAGCTGTTGGTCGATGTGTTCTTCCATTTGGGACATCTCTTGCTTGATTAATTCTTCCCATTGGGACAGACTTCTGTACCCACTGACCCTCCCCTGGCACAGCTCTGGGTCTCTTTTGACTTCCTGTTGGCCCCACTTTTGGTATGTCCTGGCTTTCCTTTGGCACAGCTGTTGGTCGATGTGTTCTTCCATTTGGGACATCTCTTGCTTGATTAATTCTTCCCATTGGGACAGACTTCTGTACCCACTGACCCTCCCCTGGCACAGCTCTGGGTCTCTTTTGACTTCCTGTTGGCCCCACTTTTGGTATGTCCTGGCTTTCCTTTGGCACAGCTGTTGGTCGATGTGTTCTTCCATTTGGGACATCTCTTGCTTGATTAATTCTTCCCATTGGGACAGACTTCTGTACCCACTGACCCTCCCCTGGCACAGCTCTGGGTCTCTTTTGACTTCCTGTTGGCCCCACTTTTGGTATGTCCTGGCTTTCCTTTGGCACAGCTGTTGGTCGATGTGTTCTTCCATTTGGGACATCTCTTGCTTGATTAATTCTTCCCATTGGGACAGACTTCTGTACCCACTGACCCTCCCCTGGCACAGCTCTGGGTCTCTTTTGACTTCCTGTTGGCCCCACTTTTGGTATGTCCTGGCTTTCCTTTGGCACAGCTGTTGGTCGATGTGTTCTTCCATTTGGGACATCTCTTGCTTGATTAATTCTTCCCATTGGGACAGACTTCTGTACCCACTGACCCTCCCCTGGCACAGCTCTGGGTCTCTTTTGACTTCCTGTTGGCCCCACTTTTGGTATGTCCTGGCTTTCCTTTGGCACAGCCCTTGCTCCATGTGGTCTTCCCAGTGGGACATCTCTTGGCTGATGAGGGTTTCCCACTGGGACAGGTCTTTGTGTCCGTTGACTTCCCTGTGGCACAGCCCTTGGGATCTGTTGCCTTGCCCTTGGCACAACTCCTGGCCAGTGTAACCCTCCCATGGGGACAGTTCTTTGTGTCCATTGCCTTGCCCTTGGCACAGTTCCTGCTGCCTCTTGGCTTTCCTTGGGCAGGGCTGCTGGTCAATGAATTCTTCCATCTGGGACATCTCCCGGTTGATTAGTTCTGACCACTGGGACAGATCTTTGTATCCATTGGCTTTCCCCTGGCACACCCCTCGGGATAGCAGTGGGGCTCTGCCACGTTCCCCCTGGCACAGCTCCCGGGGGCTGCAGACTCCCCACTCCTCCTCCTCCACTGTCCCCTGTCCCTCCTGGGACCAGGGGCTCGGCATTCCCTGGGCTGGATTGGAGTTGGGCTCTGCCTTCCCCGTGGGCATCTCCATCCTCCTGTGCCACAGAGGGGTCCTGGAGCTGCTGCCTGCGCAGGGAGGGGCTCTCCTGGGAGTGGCACCCCCGGGCTCTGCGCCCTTGAACCCCCCAGGGTCACAGTGGCCCCCACGTCACAAAGGGACATCCCAGCACCCCAACGGCCATGGAACCACCTGGAACCTTCTGGAACCAGCCTGGGGCACCCCTGGACCCGCAGCCCCCGGTGTGCCCAGAGCCCTGTGAGGGTCTGGCCCCCACTCTGGGGGGTGCAGAGGGGCTCATTCCCCACCTTTGCAGGGGGTTTGTCCCCCACGTGTGCAGGTGACGGGGTGAGTGGGGCAGGTATCGGTGGGGAGGCTCGGACAGACTGCTCTTAGAGCAGTGTGATCGGGCAATATGTCAATTTATTATTTAAATCAGTTACCTTTTATACAGTTTAGTTTGCTCAGGGCACATGCTCACAACAAGGTGATTGGATAGCTTGGTCTGTGCACACGTCTCATGTCTCCAGTTCATTGCACCTGATGTCCTGTCCACGCCATCTGAAATCATCCTTGGCAGAGAAACCTCTTTCTAATTAATCTGCTCTTAGGGTTTTACTAAATTTGCAGGTGTTTCATTATCTTCAGTTTCTTAAGGTTTTCTTTCTATAAACATATTCTGTTCTCAAACCTTATAATTAGACACACAGCTAACAAGTATAAGCATCACCTATTTTCACACAGTCTATAAGTATAAACAATACACGCCTGTCACTTCCATGGCAAGCAAGGCCTNGCAGGGAGGGGCTCTCCTGGGAGTGGCACCCCCGGGCTCTGCGCCCTTGAACCCCCCAGGGTCACAGTGGCCCCCACGTCACAAAGGGACATCCCAGCACCCCAACGGCCATGGAACCACCTGGAACCTTCTGGAACCAGCCTGGGGCACCCCTGGACCCGCAGCCCCCGGTGTGCCCAGAGCCCTGTGAGGGTCTGGCCCCCACTCTGGGGGGTGCAGAGGGGCTCATTCCCCACCTTTGCAGGGGGTTTGTCCCCCACGTGTGCAGGTGACGGGGTGAGTGGGGCAGGTATCGGTGGGGAGGCACGGACAGACTGCTCTTAGAGCAGTGTGATCGGGCAATATGTCAATTTATTATTTAAATCAGTTAACTTTTATACAGTTTAGTTTGTTTGGGGCACATGCTCACAACAAGGTGATTGGATGGCTCAGTCTGTGCACGCGTCTCGTGTCTCCAGTTCATTGCACCTGATGTTCTGTCCACGCCATCTGAAATCATCCTTGGCATAGAAACCTCTTTCTAATTATCTGCTTTTACGGTTTTACTAAATTTGCAGGTGTTTCATTATCTTCAGTTTCTCAAGGTTTTCTTTCTATAAACATATGATGTTCTCAAACCTTATAATCAGACACACAGCTAACAAGTATAAGCATCACCTATTTTCACACAGTCTATAAGTATAAACGATACACGCCTGTCACTTCCATGGCAAGCAAGGCCTGCAGAGGGCAGGAGAAATTGTTCACAGAAGTCTCTCTGTCCCAGCGACAGGCAGGTGACACCACAGAAGGACGGGGCCACCCGGGGGGACCTGGGCACACTCGACAAGTGGCACCACAAGGAGCTCCCGGGGTTCAGCCAGGCCAGGTACCCGGTGCTGATCCCGGGCACGAGCACGGGCTGGCACTGGGAGCATCCCTGTGGGAAGGACCTGGGAGTTCTCATCCACTGCCGGGGCCTGTCCCAGAGCAGCAGCACGGGTGGGGGGTGGGTTTGGCTCCACTGCCACTGTCTGGGGGGTGCTGGGGGGGCCAGGGCAGCATCCAGTGGGATTCCTGCCAGGACACTCCGCGGCACCTTTGAGGCACCTCGGCAGCGGGGTCTGGCAGCGCGGGGTGCCGGGACGCAGCCGCCGACCCCAGCCAACGGCACCAGGAAATTCCTGACATCCCGGGAAGTGCTGAGCGGGCGGAATCGCAGCGCCGGGCTGTGTGCCTTGGCCCCCGGAGCCGGGAATGGGGCCAGGAGCGGGCGGAGAGGGGCCGGCACTTCTGCAAACCTCGAAAGTGCCATCACGTGGGGGCTGAGTCACGGCCGCCCCTCCTGGGCCCTTTCCAGAGCCTCGGCAGGATGCGGGAGATGCCTCGGGACGGAACAAAAGCCTTCCCAGCATCCAGTCCCGGGAGACAGACAGGGAACGGCTCCGTCCTGTGTGCCGGGCGTGTCCCGGCCCCGCGCCAACCCCGTCCCTGCCCCCCGCCTGGGCGAGGAGCATCCCTGGGTCAGGGGGGGACCCATCCCAGAGGAGCATCCCTGGGTCAGGGGGGGACCCATCCCAGAGGAGCATCCCTGGGGGATGCAGATCCGAAGGAGCCCATCTCTCAGGAGCACCCCCGGGTGTTGTGGGACCGAAGGACCCGTCCCGTGGGAGCATCCCCTGGTGACACAGGGCTGGAGGACCCCGTCCCGCCGCCCCCTCGGCCGAGCGGGGCTCTGGGACAGCCCCCGCGGATGTGGCACAGGGAGCAGGGCCAGGGGTGGGCTGGTGGGGGCCAGCCCTGCCCCCCCGCCCTGCCCGGCCCGGGCACCGCGGAGCTGCCCCGCTCCCTCCCCCCTCCGCTCCACAAAATCCCAATAAAAGAAGGAAAAGTCAAGCCAGGAAAGTTTCTCCAGGGTGGAAAATGAGCTCCTCTGAGTCTGGCGGCAGCTCGGGGGACCCCGCGCAGGGTGGGGGAGAGGCAGGACCCGGACCCCTTCCCCGGCAGCCCGGCCCGCGCCCCCCGCTCCCACCCGGGGCACTGCGGGGGTCCGGGGCCGCCCCTCCCCGCCGGGCCCGGCCCCGCTCCGCCCGCACCGGCGGCTCCGGGACCGGCCGGGTCCCCGGGCTCGGCCGGCGGGGCCGCGGCGGCGGCGAGGAGGGGACCCCCGGGACCCCCGGGCACCGCCGGCGTGGGGAGGGGACACGGGGACACGGGGACGGGCCGGGGGGGACACCGCCGGGGGTGGGGACGGTGAGGACGCGGTGATGGGACCGTGGGGATACAGCGGTGGGACGGGGGGGACACGGCGGGGGGTTCTGGGGTCGGCGGGGCCAGCGGGGACACTGCGGTGCTGGGGACGGGGGGACACGGGCAGGTGAGCGGGGGGACCCCCTGTCCCCGTTCGAGGGCACGGGTCACACGGGGGGCGGGACAGTTTAACGGGGCGGGGCGGGCGGGGGTCCCGGGCGGGGAGCGCGGGGGATTGGGGATAGGGGCGGGCAGGGGATGGACACGGGACGGGCGGGGGTCCCGGGCGGGGAGCGCGGGGGATTGGGGATAGGGGCGGGCAGGGGATGGACACGGGACGGGCGGGNGACCTTCCTCCAAATCCCCTCTTTCCCTCTCACCTGCAGCAACCTGGACCAGCAGGAGGAGCAAGGGGAAGAGCAGGTACAGGATCTTCATGGCTGATCCACCATTCCCACGTCTTCACAGGGCTGCAAAGGGCACACCAAGGCAATGAGGACATGGAGGACCCCAGGGGGTGCAGAAGCCTGGGCACTGGGGTTCCCCAAACTGCAGAGGGGCTGCCTCCAAACACAGCACATGATCTTTCCTCTACCTTTCTTTTAAGAACAATTCTGAGGTCTGTGCCACCTTGCAAACCTTGTGTTTCCTCATGTCTCAGTCTCTGGGAAATCCATTACCTAGGATTACCCTTTTCCAATAACTTTGTCTAAGGTCTTCCATAGGCTTTCCCCAGAGAACAGACTGCACACCTGACCCCAATTCTTGCCCATTCAATCCAAAGAAAGTTTCTATTTGCCCACAAAGAAGCTCTCAGGTCCCTCCTGCAGTATCCAGGCACCTTTCCAGTCTATCATCTACTTAGGAAAGCTCAGTTTCATGTACCACATGTTCTCATCTCTGAGACTCATACGAAGGGTTTTATTCTCTTTCCCAGACATCTCTGATGGCCTAAGAGCACAGCTGGATACTTCCAGCTGTTTGTCCTTTAGGTGAGTCTGTGCAGATGGACTCTGAGCTGAGAACCTGAATGGGGAGCTTTCCAGAAAGAGACCCCACAGTCACCTACCTGATGAAGGTCTTGGTGTTCAGGCAGCAGCAAATCCAACAGGAATCACTTGGCTCCAGATGCCTTTGGGGTCAGGGAATGCTGCTTTGTCCAAAACAGCCTGGTTTTATACCCCTCCTGGTGGGTGGGACATGCACTTATTGCTGCTGACACATCTGCCCTTGGCCAACCAGGCAGTGCCCCATCAGTGTGGGGGTGCTGGGGCTGCCCCTTGTCCCTCCCTGCTGCAGTGGCAGAGGCTGAGGGGCCTCCTGGGGCTGTTGCAATGTCACCCTTATCCTCCTGCAAAACGTCCTGTGACACACGGGCTGGGCAGGAGCTGCCTGGGATGGACAAGGCATCCTGGTTGGTGCTGGGAATGGTAGCACTGAGGAAAGGGTTTGCTTCTTTTTGTCCTCCCATTTCAGAGATTCTATAAATACTCAGGTAGCCAGAGATGTGCAAGGCCAGGCTGAATATTGCAAACCTGCAGATCTTCATACAGAGAGAGGAAAGTTTTACCTCTCATTTCACTTCAGGAGGTTTGTCTGGGTTATTCAGAAATAACACAGAGAAAAAGTTCATGTACTCTTGGAAAAAATAGTCTTTCTCTTTTTCTTCCTGTTTTGATTTCTCTCCTCTCTGTCTGCCCTCTGAAACTCATGTGCTGACTGTCCACAGCACCATCAGTGTGGCTTGAGATGTTCTGGCCCAAGGAGCCCCTGGGGTGGGGGCACAGCTTTGCTTTGCAGAGGTGAAGGGTGCTCATGGTGACTGCTCAGGGTCAATGTCAGGAGAGGAGAGCACAGGGGGAGGAAAAGCTACAGAAGACAGGGATGATCTCAGCATCCCTCACTAAACTCTCCAGTTCTGGAAAGAAATGGCAGTGGAAGGTTTTTTGGGCCAGAGAAAATGGCCTCAAGTAGCAACAAGTGAGGTTTAGATGCTTGGACTCAATGATCTTAGAGGGCTTTTCCAACATTAATGATTCTTGGGAGGGAAAGCCTTCCCTGAACCATCCCAGGGTCACCAGTTCCTCCCATGGACATGGACACACACAGGTACTGAACCACTCAGAACCCAAAGCCTGAGCTTTGCTTTCCAGAGAGGGAGGGGCCACTGCCTTTGGTGGAGCAGATTGATGTCAATGCAGATTGACTCCAGATGGAGCAGAGATATCAGGTCACTCTGCTTACTCCCTGTGGGATTACAAATTTGAATATTTCCAGGCCAAAATGGGACCTTTTTCACAGGTCACCTGGCCCAGGAGCTTCATGGCCTCCTCCTCCTCCTGCCTGGTGGGAAGGGCTGTGGAGCAGCACAGCTCCTGCACTGCCCACAGCAAGGAGGGCTGAGCACAGTCGAACATGACAAGGAGCAGCGTCAGGGACAGGTCATGTGGGCAACCATGGCCATGCCCACCCAAGGGATACACCACCCAGCACAGCTCTGCACATGAACCTGGGGTTGTAAGGGACAGGGGACATCTGTGACTGGCAGGACATTGGCACCACTTCCCAGTGAGATCATGTGCAGAATTGCTCCATCACTCCCACAACAAACACCCTGCACCAACAGGCACTGACAGGCTCTGTGTCCCCACTCCACTGACAGGCACGAGCATCCCCAGGGACACACACACTGGTCAGCCCCAGCATCCCCAGCTGCTTCTCCTCACACCAACCCACCTGTGCCACCCCCACAGCCAGCAGGCACAGCACAGCCTCCATGCCAAGGACACGCACACACGGCCCAGCCCTGCAATGCCAAACTGCTCATCTTTATTCAAGCTGGCAAAAGCAGCCTCTGCCCCACAGACCCCACGGCTGGGACGAGATGTCTCCAGCCCAGCAGCACCCAGCAGGAGCAGCTGCCACTGCTGCTGTGCCAGGAGCTGGGCATGGCAGAGGCAGGGAGAGGAGAGGACCTCAGGAGATGGATCCAGGAGCCAGAAGCGAGGGGGACGTCCTGCTGGGACATTTCAGGGTCTCAACCCCACATGCTGTACAAAGAAAGCAGACAAGCATGTCAGCTATTGTAACTTTTCCTCCCACTCTCTCCCACCTTCCCCACAAAGACCATCCAGTCTGTGGTGCAGGAGACTCAGGCTCAGCACACATGGGACACAGTCCTTCATGCAGACAGTTTGGACCTGGGTTATCTCAGTGCTGGCAGCCCTGACTCCAGGTCTGTGCAGATGCAGCAAAACATGGATCATGTCCTCAGTGCTGCCCAAGGACAGTAAATGCTTCACTCTTTGGTGCCTTGGGTGAGTCCTCTGCAAAGCCTGAATGAGCCTCCTGGCACTGGAGGAGAGTGGGGAGGCACTGGCTGACCTGGGGCTCCTGCAGCCCCACTCTGGTCTGGTCCAAACCCACGAGGGCTTTTCCCTTCCTTCTTGGGCCTCTCCCACCAACCATAAATGCAGGAGAGTATTTAACAGGCATTGACACAAAACAAATTTTTAACAGATTTTTCTGGACAAAGGAGGAAACTCTTCCCTCTGCCAGGAATCCAGACCTTATCTTTTGCAGCACACACTATACAGGGAACATCTTCCAACAGGTCTTGCAGGGAAGTTGCATCTTCCATAAGTGCAGTATCCCCCTCGCCGTCTGCATCCAGCTGCATTTCAGGTTTCCATGGGGAAAGATACACATGGCACAATTAAAGCAATAATCTGAGAGATCTGTGTTTTGGTCACAAAAGGTTGATATTCACTGTGCATTTCAGGCCAATAGATGGGCTCAGCTCCAACCTCTCCACAGCAAAGATCAACCACAGTGCAAAAGATCATCCAGAAACACCAAAACAGTAACAGTTGAGTGCAGGGTTGGAGCATTAAACACAACCCCCTTCCTGACCCACAGTAGAAGCCAGGCTTCTATTTCCAGGGGCTCCCTCCAATCCCTGTCTGTGTTCACTTAGATAATCACTGGAGACCCACCTTTCTCCTCAGTCTCCCCTACCCTTCACATCACTCCAACTGACATAATCACTTTCTGGGACATGGAAAACCCCAATGATGAAGGTTTATACTTCCTCCTATCTCCCCATTTGCCCTCTCACCTGAAGCACCCTGGACCAGCAGGAGGAGCAAGGGGAAGAGCAGGTACAGGATCTTCATGGCTGATCCACCACTCTCAGATCTGCACAGGGCTGCAGAGAGGACACCAAGGCAATGAGGACACGGAGAACCCCAGGGGGTGCAGAAGCCTGGGCACTGAGGTTCCCCAAACTGCA